AAAAAAAAAAATCTTGAAATCACAATGTATGATTTTTTAATAATTTATTTGTGTGTTACTGCTGTAAATAATTATTTGAACACCTGTCAATCAGCAACTATTCTTGCCCTCTAAGACCTGTTAGTCCTCCTCTATAACGTCCACCTCCACTCCACTTATTATTCTAAATTAGAAGCACCTGTTTGAGGTCGGTAGCTGCGTAAAGACACCGGTCCACCCCACACAATCAGTTAGATCATTGAAGATGGGTCGTGGCTGGGTCTTCCAACATCCTAATGACCTGAAGCACACAGCCAGGAGAACCAAGGAGTGGCTCTGTAAGAAGCATATCAAGGTTCTGGAGTGGCCTAGCCAGTCTCCAGACCTAAACCCTGGAAAATCTTTGGAGGGAGTTCAAACTCCGTGTTTCTCAGTGACAGCACAGAAACCTGGATGATCCAGAGAAGATCTGTGTGGAGGACTGGGCCAAAATCTCTGCTGCAGTGACAAACTACAGGAAACCTTTGACCTCTGTAACTGCAAACAAAGATACTGAACCAAATATTAACATTAATTTTCACAGGTGTTCAAATACCTATTTACAGCATTAACACACAAATAAATTATTTAAAAAATCATACATTGTAATTTCCGGATTTTTTTATTTTTATTTTTTATTTTTTTATGTCTCTCACAGTGGACATGCACTTAAGAAGAAAGTTTCAGACCCCTCCGTGATTTCTAAGTGGGAGAACTTACAAAGTCGCAGGCTGTTCAAATATTTTCCTCACTGTACATGTGTTTATTTTTCCCATTCACAGAATAGTTTCCACGTGTTGAAAGTGAAGTTTTAAGTCAGTACCTTCTCAGAAGTGGCTTTAGACATAGAGCAGTAAGTATGGAGAAAAGAGCAACAGTTTTCTTCAGGCTAGAGGTATAGTTAACCAAATGAGCTTGTTTTTATACTTTCAACAAAAAATAAAACTTTATTAATCCCAGAGGGAATTATATCTTTTAAACACAACCCTTTCTCAAATATGATAGAGAGTTATGATATTTTGAAATATATTTGTTGAATATAGTCTGTTGCCCTTTTCTTTGTACTACGTGCTCTATGACTGTACTATTCTTCTAAACACCTTTTAGAATAATGAAAACATTTGAAATGTTGAAGACGGCAGAATTTTACAAAAAAAGGAAAAACTTTTATTAAATCTGTACAAATTTTTTGTCTACCCAATTTATTTTATTTTATAATCACTGTTAAATTCCTGAACTGTCTTTAACTCTAAAACAAAAACAAAAAACTAAACAAGCACTTTACTAATCAGGTTAGTTTTCATAGTGTTTGTATTTTCTGTCGTGTTTATTTTGTAAAATCTTGACCAAGATGTGAGAAGATAAATTAGTCAAAAGTCTGTACCACTAGATTTCTCTGATCTACTTGAACTTTATTTTGTCTTGGTCTAGTTGCCCAAGGAACCACACAAATACATATTTTAGGGCTGTTTTCATTTCCATGTCACTTTCAGGGAAATTGCTTAAACATGAACCAAGTGCAGACCTAACATGACAAGTTTAACTTTATCGTCGCGCCTCACGAAACAACACGCTTCTACTGAGCTTTTGTTTTCTTCACAAAAACGTGAAAAACACATGAGCAAAAATGAAACCGTCAGCTCTTATGATGAATGCTTTCACATTTTTATTATTATTATCATTATTATCCATTATTTGTCAAATAATATGTTGTGCTGAAAAACACAATACTCAGATTTAACTAAAACAATCGTAATGTTTGCATAGACTTGTATTTATTCAGATCTTCTTTCATAGAAAAGTGAAAATCAATCTTTAAGACACTTATATATTGACATTATTTTCTATCTTCAAATATATGATCAGTAAAATAATGTTTAAGAGATAAACAGATTAATGTATCATTTTGAACAATGTTTCCTCCAAGAACGCGTGATTGCTGTTGTCGTGCTGGTTTTTGAGAAACAGAAAACGTGCATTTTCCAAACATAAAGCTCAATTCAAGCCTCAAAATTTTGTTCCAGGAACATTTTAGTAAGACGTTTTGTTGTCTTACTATGTGTGACAAATTTTCTTCTAGTATGTTGTTATTCTATGAATATATAAAATATATAACATTTAAATTGCCTGAATTGTTTTCATGCACATTAGAATTGACTTGCTTTTGCATCCATTGCACACATTATCCACCTAATGGAATCTCCTGTCCTCTCCAATCAAACCCACCCCCTCCCTCTCAGCTCCTTTGCCTAAAGTGGACAACTTGACCATTTCAAACATAACCCCCTATGGTTTCCAAGTGTCCTGGGAGGTACGGCAGCAGCAGCAGGGTGAACTAACGCCCTCTAGTGGCAGTTTCAGCCACTTCCACATAGTGGTGACAGACTCTGGGTGGCTGCTGCAGCCTCAGGAGTTCACTGTCCCAGGAAACCAAAGTAACCTGAACATCTGGGGGCTCATCACCGGCATAGGTTATGAGGTCAGGCTGACAGGGGTGTCAGAGTCGGGGCTCCTCTCTCGGCCCCTGACTGCAGTGGCTGTAACAGGTATCACCCCTCATCTTACTAACCTGTTCAGTTTCTTGTTTTGCTGCAGCTGCTGCAATTATACATGTGACGTTGTTTCCTTTTAGAAGTTTCACTATCACAACATGGCACAGTCTCCTCACTCCCACGCCTGGATTGGTTTTAGGCCCCGTCCACACAGAGACGGTGTTTTACACGGCCCAAAACAGTGTTTTTTGAATGCAACCTTTTAATGCCATAATCCCACTTTTTTTTATTATTAACTTACGACCTCAGGTGTGGCAGATGTATGAACAGTAATGACAAATTACATGCTTGATTTGTGTTGCAGATACCAGTTGCTCAACTACAGCAAAACTTTCATTGCAATATTGATATACAAGGCTGACAAACAATACAGTTGCCTTTAATAGAGCAGAGTAATAATCCCCTCTATTTCACCTTTTTGAGCCTTTTTCTAAGGCTCCAAAATAATTAAATCACTTTATTAAACTGTGAACAATGCTAAGGCTAAGGCTAGCCTCGTTTGCTTTGAACAACATGAGAAAAATATTCCTTCCAGTCATGCCTTGCTGGGTACTACGCCTTAAAAGCGACTGTGTGTCCGCACTGTCCTGCACTTTTGTGGTCTTGTAGTTCAGAAAGACATTAGGAGAAGTTCCACAGAAAGAACTTGTTCTTGCTCTTGTAGTCACCACCCATATTTTTTGTCTTGTGTTTACAGTTTGAACCCGATGCAGGAGTTCTCTGCGCATGCTTCATACCATATTTCCTGTTTTTAGTGTGCTTCTGTGGCAACGTTACCGTCCCACATAGTGCCAGGCGGATTGTTTTCTGCACACATGAGAACTAGGGGTGCAACGATAAATCGGCATTGATTTCCTTAATTTTGGGAAATTGTAAATCGGCCGATGCATGAAAAAACAATTTTACAGATTTTTTTTAGTTTTAACAACAATTGTCTGAACTTCATTTATATTTCAGAGCACTACCTCACGGCCAGTTAAAACAAGTTTGTATTGTTTCTAGGATATTATTCAAGGGTATATGCTTTTCAATAAAATAAAATTTGAAAATTGAAAGTGCATTGTGTTGCTAATAAAACAAAATCGGAATCGGCAGGTCAGACATTTTAGAAGCCGGTGATCGGCCAGAAAACTGCAATCGGTGCACCTCTAATGAAAACAGTTCCCGAAGCAGTGCTGTGCTTGCAAGGGTGCTTTTAGAAACAGCAACTAAAACATTTGTTTTGGAAAAACAACATTTCTGTGTGGACAAGGCCTTAGCAGTAATTAATTGAGGTAAATGCCACGTTTCAATGGTGAAACATTAGCTAAAAAAATTTGACTCAATCCCCAAATCTAATATAACTTATTTTTTTAAACAATCTCAACTTCCATTTCTTTTACGTATTTTCTTGGAATGCAACTACATTAAAAAACAAGTGGGTTATCTTGTCTGATTTTGTCTTTTCTTTAAAATATGGGCAAAAAATATTTGTTTTCATATTTTAGATGTTTTCCTTCACATATTTAACTGCTATACAGATATCAGAGGGCAGAATCCTTGTATTAGTGTTGTTTCAAACCATATTTTCACATGCAAAAATACCCAACTAACAATTCACCAGGTGTATCAAGCATGTGATGTCTGTTGATTCTGGTCTTGATCTAATCTCTTTCATTTTAAGATGTACTGAATGCATTGAGGCTGGCCTCGAGGATGCATGGAGAATTCATCTCAACAGGCCTGTGTACTGACAATAATAAATGCCTAAAAATGCCTCTTGTCTTTTAGTTCTTTTATGCCTTTTTTGCCTTGAGTTAAGGTTTTGACTGATTCTAACAGCTACATGCATGACAGATCTGAGGTGGAACATGATGCAATCTGCCACCCAGAAACCATCTTTTCTGGTAGCTGACACTCATTAATGAATATCTCTGGTAAAACACCAAATCTGCATCACTTCTGTTTTCTCGTTTGACCAGAGGCTGAGCCGGAGGTGGAGCATCTCTTCGTTTCAGATATCACAGCTGACAGTTTCCGCCTGTCATGGGCAGCTGATGAAGACCTGTTTGACAGATTTGTCATCAAAGTAAGAGACACTAAAAGATTAGCTCATCCTCAGGAGTATAATGTCCATGGCAACAAGAGAACAAAGGTTATCACCGGCCTCATGAGTGGTACTGAGTATGACATCGAGCTTTATGGTGTCACAATGGACCAGCGCTCCCAACCTATTACAGGGCTTGCTCAAACAGGTATACACATAACCCTGCCGAGTGTTCATTTTACTACTGAAAACTTCGTTAGCTGTGATTTAGTGTGATGTGCTGAACTTAGAGTCTCACTAATCATCTTTGTTTCTCTGATTTAGGATAAACTAAATGCTGAATGGAATATTTTGGATATCCTGAGATTTTCTTGATGCTGTTTGAGATTTTCTTCACCATAAATGACTTTGTGCTTTCACTGTTTTCCGGCCTGTGCATTTTAATTGGCACTCTGTTAGGTCTAAGCGCTCCAAGAGGACTTCATTTCTCTGAAGTGACGGACTCCACAGCCATAGTTCACTGGTCCAGTCCACACTTTACAGTGGATAACTACCGCATCACCTATGTGCCTTTTGAAGGAGGTGAGAACTCAATAATACACTTCAGGTTTAATACACTAATGAACTAAGTTTACAATGAATTAAATTAATTAAAACTAATTTTGCATAAATTTGCACCTGAAAAATCAAAGATTGTAATTCAAAATCCAGTGATACAGATAAGACAAATACTGATTCATTTGCATTGAAAAAAATGTCCTAATGCTAAACAAGCAAACATGAATTGACATACATTATTTGTTGTACAGAAAGTTTAAAAAATAATCATTTTAATGCACAGAACAGTTTCAGCTCCACAATTTAAGTGTTTCTTCATGTGTAGAACAGCAGGTGTGCAGTACAAAGTCTGTTCTACATTCACATGTATGTTGAGTTACATTCAACAGTGTGACTTGGTTATTCCAAAAAAATAACTTTATTCGTTAAATCATTCTTCAATTGAGCAATTTGTATTTTCATTCAACCTTTATTTCTACAGGTTAGTGTCACTGAGCCTCGAGGACTCATTTACAAGAGAGACATGTATTCTTGGGGTTGTTGCCTGCTCCATGTCTGAAACAGATGTATCCATTGGAATCCATTGATATCTTTAAGGATTGAATGTTTGTGTGATTGAAAGCTGTCCTGTCAGTGAAATTGACTTACATCATCATATTATCACTGACATAATTCATTAAGGTTCATAAGGTTTTGGTGCTGGAAAGCAGTAATTGATGCAGTCCAAGCAGCAGTTCTTAATAGAGCCTATATTAATTTCTTCAAGAAACAGTTAACACAGCTCCAACTGATTATTAGCAAACTACAGATATGCAGAGGTTTTCATCTATAGAATCGTTTCTCTATAAGCAATTAAAAAAAAATCTCGTTTTTTTTATTTTGTTTTGGTTTTGCTGGTATGTCCATTTGTCTAATAAATTCTGATTTAAACTTCTATATTTTCTAACTCTTCTAAAACCCTGGCCATAACTAGCTATAACTTTTACTAATTGGCTTTTAGAATGTCAATTAAATTCAGTTCAGTTTATGTATATAGCACCAAGTCACAACAGAAGTCATCTCGGAGCACTGAACAGAAACATTCATATATATAAAAATAATTTAACATTAATTATCTGAGGAGCAGACTGCTTTGAATTTAACTTCATCACAGAACTCTCATCTTGAGCAAGCGTGAAGGAAAAACTCCCTCATGAGGAAGAATCCTCCAACAGAACCAGGCTCAGGACAAGCGGTCATCTGCTTCAACCGGCTGGGTTTCAGAGGAACAGGAAGGAGGAATAGATACACAATGGCAGGCCCAGAATCACATGTTAAGATAAAAATAATATCAAATGAAAACTATTAGATTTTAACAATTTGTTTAAGGAAATGAGGTCAATTTGTCTTCCAGTAGTCTAAGCCTATGGCAACATAACTTTAATTATAGGATTATAATTATATAATCCTAACATAATGTATTATAATATAATATAGAATATTTATAAAGAATCTCATGAAGTTTATGCTTATAGTTGCAGCGCTACATGAATCAACAGAGATAGGATTTTTCATTAGACAATGGTACTGAAAAGGAACCTGGGGCTATTTTATTGTCATTAATTAAAGATGAGTAATATAAAGTTCTAGCTTTACGGAGCACATTTTTTATGTTAGCAGGTTATCTCTCCGAGATGAATAAAATTCTTCCACATTAGTAGAGCGCCATTTTCTTTCCAGTCTTCTAGATGCCTGTTTTAAAGTACTTAACTCAGAATTGAACCAAGGAGCCAGGTTCCTCTGATTGATTACTTTCTTTTTCAGCAGAGTAGCTTTATCAAGTGAAGTTTGCAAAGAACTTGTAAATTTACCATCCAGATGATCTAAGTCACTTCTCTCTGATGCATTACTCTGCAAGACAGAGGAAAACATTGATGGAAGAGATTGTTTAAATTTGGTTACAGTGTTTTCAGATAAGCACCTGCTGAGATAAAATTTACTCTCAGTGACTGTGTAGTCATTTAATGTAAACTCAAACGTTATTAAAAAATGATCAGACAGAACAGGATTTTGATGATGTATTACTAAATCCTTAATCTATATACCATAAATCAGAACAAGGTCAAGATTGTGATGATGAGAATGAGTAGATGTGCGGACATTTTGGGAAAACCACTTGATTTTATTAAATTTTTAAAGGCTGTGCTTGAGCTATCACTTTCAACATCTTCATGAATATTGAAATCACCCATTAGTATCATGAAAGTACCCATTGTTTATCATGTACAATGAATATGAATGTTTCTGTGCAGTGCCCTGAGACACCTTCTGTTGCAACTTGGTGCTATATAAATAAACTGAAGTGAATTGAAATTATGATCCAGTCAAAAATGAGAAATTTTAATTTTTCTAATATCCTAGACTAAATTAATAACATGGTAGGCATAGTTACTAAGAAAGTAAACAGTGTTTATTTAGCTTTAAGATGTTTAAGCTTTGCTCTAGTCCATAAATGTAATAGTGTCACACACATTGAAGAGGACAGGCTCACGTACGGTGGTGCAAATGTAAGAGCAGATAAGATCTGTTGTTGTTGCTGTTTGTCTGAACACTGTTTGTCCTGTCTCCTTAACAGGAAGCCCATTGATCGTGACTGCAGATGGCAGCGTGTCTGAGACTTTGCTGGTTGATATGGTGCCTGGAAAGAGCTACCAAGTCACTGTGAGCGCACTGAAAGGTCTGGAGGAGAGTGAGCCCAGCACAGGCACTGTAACCACAGGTTTGATTTCCCCCGCTTTGGTTAAAAACTCTCATCTGTGTCGTCACATCTTAGTCTGTTTGAACTCACTTAATATGAAACCAATAATGTGTTTATGTCCTCCAGCTTTGGACAGCCCACAGGGTGTGACTGCAGTTAATGTCACTGATACGTCAGCTCTTTTGCGTTGGCAACCATCTGTAGCCACTGTGCATCAGTATGTCATCACCTATAGCTCTGACTCAGGTACGATTAGCAAGTTCCGTTAAAAAACTTCATGATTACTAGAATTGCGCCGCTCAAGGTGGCTGCAGGTTGGAGTAGCTCTTACATTCATTCTTTGAATGCTTTGAAAAACTTAAATTCCTCTGTTTCTGGATGTAGATCACTTTCTTTTTTTGGGGGGTGGGGGGGGGGTGATTACTTCCTCTGGTATCAGATGCTGTGCAGCTGGAAGGATTTTACATTTGTAATGATGTGTAGCCATGGCAACAAGGTGGTTTTTTTTTACAACTGGGAGCAGCTGATTACCACGTCAGAAGCTCAAATAAGACCTCAACTACAGCCCCAAATACCAAATGAGTTGACAAAGGAGGTGCCATGTATGCATTCCCATCTACCTGGTGGTGGTGTTCGAGTACCTGACGGCTGAGATCCTGGAGCTGGCGGGAAACGTGGCTCGTGACGACAAGAAGACGAGAATCATCCCCGTCACCTACAGCTGGCTGTCCGCAAAGACGAGGAGCTTGACAAGCTGCTGGGAGGAGTGACCATCGCTCAGGGAGGAGTTCTGCCCAACATTCAGGTGGTCCTGCTGCCCAAGAAGATCGTGAAACTCACCAAGTTCAAGTAGACGGATCAACATCTGCAACCAGTTTCTTCAGATCTGCTGTGGGACAGACGGCTACATGAGATCCTTCCTGCCCACAGCCATCACCTAGAACAACTCTTTAATGAAACCAGGATGATGAGCTACATCAACATTTAATTTCCCACTGGGATTGATAAAGGATTTTTGAATTGAATTTGTGCCTGAATCTTAATTTACACTACTTTAATAGTGTGATTTGAATTCTGTCCCAGTGTCTCCAGTGGTGGAGTATGTGTCTGGGCACACAGTGGAGTTTGAGATGAGTTCCCTGGTTCCAGGATCACATTACACAGTTGGTGTTAACGGAATGAAAGAAGCTCAGAAGAGTGCATCTGCTTTTACTGAATTCATGACAGGTAAGTCCAGACAAGAGCCTGGTCAACATGAAGCAACATGTTCTCTGAGTTTCCAGCCTTTTTAAAATGCTAAATCTAAAGTGATATGCTGTGTTTTCAGATGTAGATCCTCCTCGTGACCTGGCAGCTGTTAACATTCAAAGTGACAGTGCCACTCTGACCTGGAAACCACCTCATGCTGCAGTCACTGGTTACATGCTCACCTTCTCCTCAGCTGATGGTGAAATCAGGGTATGTATATGTTCAAATCAGATTCAACGCAATCTATGCAAAAAAACCTAAACATATCCAAACACATTTAATTAAATAGGATCAAATTAACTGTAATTGGATTTTTTTTTTTTTTTTTTTGCTTGTTTGTTTCATAATTGAATATCCAATGATCAAAACTTTATTTTGGATGGTAAATTTACAATTTGGTAACTTATAAACAATATTTAACAAGCTAGACATTTTAATAAATGCTGAAAAAGATGCCTCAACATATTTTAGATTTTTTAATCTGTTCTTCAGAATTTTGAATTCACAGATTATCAGTTTGAAATATAGTTAGCAATGCTGCAAAAACAAAAATCTTGCATTTGATTCTCCAGTATTACTTGTTTTTGGGATGTATTTTTCTGTGTGCAGGAAGTAATGCTAAGCCCAACAGCATCCTCGTACAGCATGTCTCAGCTGAGCGGTTCCACCGAGTATGATGTCCGCCTGCAGTCTGTTGCTGCGCTAAAGAGGAGTCGATTTGTTACAACCACCTTTTCCACCAGTAAGGATGAAAATACTATTTTGATGCACTCTATGTGTCACTATGTGACACTAGGTAGTGTTGTAGTGCTTGAGACCGGTCTTGGTCTTGAGACCGGTCTCAAGACCACTTTTTGATGGTCTTGGTCTTGTCTCAGACTCGACCGCATTTGGTTTCGGTCTTGTCTTGGTTATTGAGGACTCGGGATTTTATTTCAAGACCAGTCAAGACCACAACTGTGGAAATATCACTGAATTGCCAGAATATTGTCCAGTTTATTTGTTAACATCTTTTTTTTTTTACTGGATGCAAAATGTACTGATTCAAATCCAAGCGATAACATGACTCATTGCTAAATACATGTTTTTGTTACTGCTGTCGTGCCCACCCCCTTTCATTTGCACGTGTCTGCCAAATCATCAGTTATAAAATTCAGCTATTTAAATCACAAAGAATATACTTGTAACTAATATACATTTATGTAACGTTTTTAGGTGTATATCTACTACTTTATTGAAACCACTGTGCAACTATATGGTTATCCTTGATGTTGAGTTTGGACTTATGAAGAGTGTTTTGCCACTGCAGTTTTTTAAGACTTGGCATGTGATGAAACTGCTTCCAATTTAACAGTTGTGTAATTTTATAGTTGGATCACATGCAGTTAGGCCACTGAATGTCTGGTTTCTTTGTTATGTAGCTTTGAAAATTTATAAATGCTGGTACATTCATTCAAAAGCAAACAAAGTTGTGGTATGTAACTTTTGTAAAAATCCATCCATCCATTATCTTTACCCGCTTCTTCCATTTTGGGTCACGGGGGTCGCCGGTGCCCATGTCCAGCAATCACTCTGCGAGGGGCGGGGTACACCCTGGACGGGTCGCAAGTCCATCACAGGGCCACATAGAGACAAACGAGACAAACAACCATTCACTCTCTCACTCACACCTAGGGACAATTTAGAGTTACCAATCAGCCTAACATGCATGTTTTTGGTGTGTGGGAGGAAACCGGAGTACCCGGAGAAAACCCACGCATGCACGGAGAGAACATGCAAACTCCACCCAGAAAGGCCTCCGGACCGGGATTTGAACCAGGGACCTGCTTGCTGAGAGGCAGCAGCTCTACCAGTTGCGCCACCGTGCTGCCCCCAGCTCTGTTTAGTCCGCTTTAATCAAACTCTAGCTCGTTTTCCTAGAAAGTCCGGTTCGTTTAGGGAGGTGTGAACGCGCCATCGGACTCTGTCACGAAACAAAAAGGCGAACTCTGGCCCGGGCTAAAACCTAGGTCTCGGTCCGGTAGAAGCGAACTCCAGCGCGGTTCGAGTACAGTGTGAATGTAAACAAACACGCATTTCTCTGACCTTATATGGAGCTGTCAGCTGCGTTGTGTGGAAAAACAATATTCTCCATGGTCTTCTGTTTCATCTTCTGCTCATGCTAAGTCCATTTTTGAAAAATGACAAAATATAACTCCTAAAACTGCTAAAACTTGATGCCACTTCGTTTTTATTTTTATTTACAGAAGAAGAAGAAGACGTGTCTTCAGAAGTTTTTGTGTCATTTCTTTCAGTAGTTCTTGGTGCAGCGCCCCCACAGGCGAGCGGGGGAATAGGTTGGTTCAACAGGTTGACTCGACTGCACAGTGCAGTGTGAGTGCAAACGCACCAGCTCAAATGTAAACAAAAGGTCATGAATATTGGTCCCGAACCGAGTCTACTGGACTATCTGGTGTGAAAACGACCTTAGTCTTGTCTCGTTCTCGGTGCACTCTGGTCTTGGTCTTGACTTGGTCTCGGGTTAGGTGGTCTTGAACACAACACTACGGGGAGGAGTTGAACAGTCTGATGGCTTGAGGGACAAAGGACTTCCTGAATCTGTCCGTGGAGCAGGACTGAGACAGCAGTCTACAGCTGAAGGAGCTCCTCTGCTTCATGATGGTGCCATGCTCAATGGTCAACATTGTCCATAGTGCATAGCACCTTACTGAGGGCCCTTTTCTCTGCCACTGATGTAAGGGACTCCAGCTCTGTTCCCAACACAGAATCAGCTTTCCTCAACAGCCTGTCAAGTCTCCCTGCATCTCTCCTCTTAATGCTGCTTCCCCAACACACAGCAGCACTGGCTACCACAGACTGGTAGAACATCAACAGTAGTTTCCTGCAGATACTGAAGGACCCAAGCATTCTCAGGAAGTAGAGCCTTTTCTGACTCTTCCTGTAGACTAGTGGGAGGATGTGTTCGCTGACCAGTCCAGACTATCATTCAGTTGTATGTCCAGATATTTGTAGGTCCTGACCATGTCCACATTGCCCCCCTCATTTGAGAGTGGCTTCAGGGTAGGTCCAGACTTTCTGAAGTCCACTACCATTTCCTTTGTTTCACTGACGTTCAGCTGTAAATTGTTGGATTTGCACCACACCATGAAGTCCTCAACCAGGGTCCTGTACTCCTGTCCATCCTGCACATACCCAGCAATTTCAGTGTCATCTGAGTATTTCTGCATGTGGCAAGTCTCCAAGTTATAATTGAAGTCAGATGTGTACAGGGTGATCAGAACTGGAGAGAGCACGGTCCCCTGCGGTGCTCCTGTGCTGCTAACCACAACAATAGCAGCGCCGCATTGTGCATGCTGTAGTTTCTATAAAATAAATAACCATTTAAAATCCACACATTTTATACACATAATTGCTTATGGCTTTATTGGTTTTTGGAGGGTCCTCTCCCTCATTATGATCAGAGAGCACTGTTTCTGTAGTTGTCCATGCTTTGGGTTTAATCTGTGTCTGACTGTGATATTTTCTAAAGGTTCGTCTCACTCATAGATGGTCTCCTGCAGGACAGCATAGAACTGCTTCTCTGGGCTGCTGGCTGTAGCTGCCTCGAAGATCAACAATTTGAAATCTGATGTTTATTTGAGTAAGAATGTTGGTGACAAGAGTCAGTGCAATGCATTATAACGACTCATCAGACTCATCAGACTGGGGCAGCACAGTGGCGCAACTGGTAGAGCTGCTGCCTCTCAGCGAGCAGGTCCCTGGTTCAAACCCCGGTCCGGGGGCCTTTCTGGGTGGAGTTTGCATGTTCTCTCCGTGCATGCGTGGGTTTTCTCCGGGTGCTCCGGTTTCCTCCCACAGACCAAAAACATGCATGTTAGGCTGATTGGTAACTCTAAATTGTCCCTAGGTGTGAATGAGAAAGTGAATGGTTGTTTGTCTCGTTTGTCTCTATGTGGTCCTGTGATGGACTTGCGACCCGTCCAGGGTGTACCCCGCCCCTCGCACAGTGATTGCTGGACATGGGCACCGGCGACCTCCATGACCCAAAATGGAATAAGCAGATAAAGATATTGGATGGATGGACTCATCAGACTGTAACTGACTGTAACCAGCCACCCTAACACATAGCTACATTGTCTACTGACATGCAATAATTTATAATAATTATTGTTGTTTTTTAATAATCCAAAACAAATCTGAGTATGATAGGGATCTTTAGTTTGTCCCTTAATGTGACTGTGGTGTTGATTCTGACCTTTCTTCTTCTTCTGACTCCTCATCCTCTGTAGCTGCTGCTCGTTTGATCCAGGACAGCAGAGTTCTGCTTCCCCGGGCTGCCAGCTGTAGCTCTCTTTCATTTCTTCACTTTTCTTTTCTTAGCATTATGCTGCAGTTGGTAAAAAGTATATCAAAGTTTTGATGTGTGTGATAATTGAGAGTTAACGGCACTGGACAAGACTTTCTTCAGAGATAAGATTAAATTGATGCAAGTGAAGTTATAACTTCGGCATCTGAAATTTAGGGGTCAAATCCACTCGCTTTGTTTGTTTGTTGGTTAGCCGTCACCAGGGCTCTGCCGAGCAGGAGAGGAGAAAAGTGTTTACATGCCGCTCCAGCAGCACACCTCTGTGTCCAATTGTCTACATTGTGCATAGCGTGTTCACGTTGAGAATGGCATGGCATGAGAGTGCTGTGGGCACGTGTGCAAAATTTCCTTGCACATTTTGGGTCATTGGTAATATATTGTATGCTTCTTAATGCAGAAACGCCATCATGGGCATAATGTACACTGTAAAAAAATAGTTTGACAGGTGCACCCTGGTCCAGAGGACAAACGGAAGGTGCTCAAGCACCATCTGAGATTTATTTGTGCACCTCCCAAAGTCCAGATGTATTTTGAATGCAAATTACTTTAATTTATTCTGATATTCCAAACAGATGGCCTGTACCTACTTTTCATTCTGTCTAAGCTGCTCCAATGGAAAAACTTTTACAACACTTTTATTTTTTTAATGGAGCCATTCTTTCCCATAATACATTGGTAAAATAACATGTATTGCAATTTAAAGTTTCTATAACTTTTGTGACCTTTAAAATGGTGTCTCTTTACTCTGGCTTTCAGTTGGACAGCTGTTTGCACAGCCACTGGACTGTGCTCAGATTTACCTGAATGGAGAGACGACCTCCGGTCTTTACACCATCTTTATTGGAGGAGAGGAAAGACAGCCTGTTCAGGTTTACTGCGACATGACAACAGACGGCGGAGGATGGACAGTAAGGAAGTCATTTTGACCTGTTGTGTAATACCACAGAGAACATATGTGTGCTGATTTCTCATCTACATTGACATCCTTCAGGTTTTTCTCAGACGTCAGAATGGAAAGGTGGAATTCTTTAGAAACTGGAAAAACTACACAGCTGGCTTCGGTAACATGAACGATGAGTTCTGGCTGGGTAAGAGGATCATCTTTTAAAAAATTGTTCCTGTCTGGCTTACCTTCAGAACGCTTCTCACTCATACACTTTGCACCTGGCCTACAGGTCTTTCCAACCTCTACAAAATGACATCATTGGGATTTTATGAGCTGAGAGTGGACCTAAAAGACAAGGAGGAGTCAGCCTATGCTTTGTATGACAAATTTACCCTTGGAGAGCCAAGAACACGCTATAAACTCTACTTAGGAGTGTATAGTGGAACTGCAGGTATGTGCTGAGTGAAAAAATGAGAACAAACAAATCACTTTTGTTTTCTAGGTGCACCAACCATTTGCCCTCTATAATAATTAACCTATGCACATCTTGCAAGATGCCTAATGCTGGAGATAAGAAAAACCTGTCATCTGGACTCCATCTAAGCTCACCAATGATCTGTTTTGTTTAACCTGTAACAAATCAAGAGTGTAAAACAACCTAACTGTGCTTTCAGCAGGAAGTAATTACTTTTATTTGTTTTCCACAGACTATTTGTTAAGTTGCCAGTGGAGAATTAAACATAGACAGCATTTTTCTTCTTTTGGCTGTTCCCTCTTCAGGGGTTGCCACTTGGATTCATCCTTCTCCATCACATTCTGTCCTCTGTGTTCTCTGTCCTCACTCCAACTACCTCAACATCCTTTAAATAAAGGTTTAGTTTTTGGTTGTATGTTCACAAAACCAAAAAAAAATAAAGAAAAAAGACTTTGATTTAAAAAAAAAAAAAAGAATAAAATAAATGATACATTCTTAGAATAACTAAAAAAACATTTAAATTTAAGTAATACATTACCAGTTTAATTCTGGTAAAACTATCTTTAATGTAAAATGAAGCTTGCGTTCTTTAAAGTGGTGCATATCACCCGCTGCCAGTGTTTGACAAAGATCATCTTTTCTTGAGAAATAAAAGATGTACTGCCATTTTGAATAAACCATTTTGGATAATAGCATTATACACAATCCCATGCAATGTTGTGTTCTTTCATGCAAATCCTAATCATCAGGCTCTTAAAGGATGTGTTGGAGATGACTCTCAGCTACTATCATACCAAATGTTATTTCAATTGTTTTAAAACTGACAACATTATAACTATTGTTGTGATTTCTAAGTTTAATTGTGGCAGCCATCTTAAATAGGGTTGTCTCCAAAAGGTAATCAGTTGTAGATGTACATGCATTGAGTACTTTTTGAGAGTTTCATTAAGAGCCCTCCTAAGGTTTTTGTGTTGTTTTAACTGGCTTACTGATACTATTAGATAATATTTCTTGTGTTCATCAGGTGACTCCATGACGTACCACCATGGTCGGCCCTTCTCCACCTATGATAACGACAATGATATTGCTGTGACAAACTGTGCCTTGTCCTACAAAGGAGCCTTTTGGTATAAAAACTGCCATCGAGTCAACCTCATGGGGAAATATGGTGACAACAGCCACAGTAAGGTATGGACAGTTTTTTAAACACTTCAAAACAGTTGTATGGGTTGACCTAAAATAGTTATCTTATTTTATCAATAATTTCCTATTATGAACTGATTTTCAACACCTTGTCTTTGTTCAAAACACTGAATCTATGCTATTTTGCTTGTGGCGGGCGGCAAAGTGGCACAGTTGGTAGGAATCTCAGCGAGAAGGCTGCCAGATCAAATTCCAGCTGGGGACCTTTCTCGGTGGAGTTTGCATGTTACGTTATGTTATGCTGTTTATTTGTCATATGCAGGTTAACACAAGGTCAACCATGCAATGAAGTGTTCAGGATGAGAAGAACCAATTTGACTCGCTAAAAACAAACAAACAAAAAATAAATAAGCAAGAAATACTGAAGCATGCAATAAGGGTTCAAAATAAAGTACCAAAATGTGAAAAGTAAATACAATATTTACATGGTCCAAAAGAAATATAGTAAACAACAACATGGTGGACTATAACAATGCAAACAGGATGAATTTGTATGAATAAGTATTTCACAGATAGTAATATTAGCTTACATGCACATGATTTACTGTATATTGAACAAAACTAACATAAACTACACAGGTGGTGTGACGGGTTATTGCACAGGCAGTGAGTAACATTGAGATGAACTGATTATGGTAAGGTGTTGACATGCAGGATACAGCCACATAGTGCAACAGCAATAAACATATTAGTTGTCACAGATGTGGCTTGGTGCACTGTTATTGTCAATGGTTCAGTATTATTATCAAGAGTTCAGTAACCTGACAGCTTGTGGATAATAACTGTCTTTGAGTCTTTTTGTGCGCAATGACAGACTCCTGTATCATCTACCTGAGCATAGTAGAAGGAAGAGTCCTTGTGCTGGGTGGGTGTGGTCTTTAATGATGCTGAATGCTTTACACAGACATTGGCTGTGGTAGATGTCCTGGGTGGTGTGGAGACTGCTACCAGTGATGTCCTCTGCTGTTTGCACCACCCTCTGTAGTGCTTTCCAATTCTGACTGGTGCAGTTCCCATACCACCCTGTAAATGTGTAACTGTACACACACATCACACTGTAATGTTCTCCCCATGCATGCATGTGTTTTCTATGGGTACTGATTGGTTACTAAACTGCCCCTACGTGAGAGTGAGTGAGAGAATGTTTGTTTGTCTCTTTGTGTCCCTGTGATGGACTTGCGACCTGTCCAGGTGTCCCCCGACTCTCACACAGTGATAGCTGCATATGGAGCACCAGCGATCCCCACAACCCAGAAAGGAAGAAGTGTGTAAAGATGAAATATGGATGGATGGATGGATGGATGGATGGATGGATGGATGGATGGATGGATGGATGGATGGATGGATGGATGGATGGATGGATGGATGGATGGATGGATGGATGGATGGAATATTTTTCTAGTGGCTGTTTGGGTTTTGTATTCTCAAGTTGTATTCTTTTCTGTAATATTTACTTTTTTTAAATCAAAGATCAAGCATTTCTTTAAAAGATAATATATGTAGCTTGTTGCATTTGATGTCAGAGTTTCAATCAAAGAGTATCTTATGTAAAAATTACGTAGTTTCATCTGTTTTGGTGAAACCTTAAAGATACCACTATGAGCAGTCTCATTCAGTATTGCCATATCTAACACTGAGAGCATTGTAAATGAATCGTACTAACAAATAAAATTTTAAGTCGTGATCATGAAACACTTATAGCCCTTTTTTATATATATATAAAAAGTAGTCAAGTAGATTACATGGTGCATGAGTAAAATTACACACTTGAAAAAAATACTCAGAAAAGTACAAGTACCCAAAAAACTACTTAACTACAGTAATGTAAGTATTTGTAATTCGTTACTTCCACCCCTGCTGGTAACGGACCAGTGTGCAAAATTTTGATGGCGACTTTTTAAACAAAGTGCTCGCTCAGTCTGTCAGTGCTCATATTATGTGATGAGAGTGACTTCCAGGTATTACCACACCAAACTTCAGATCAAAAACTTGTAAAGTTGTAAAACTGACTGAGTTAGAGACATGTTTGTGCCATCTAATAATTATCTGTGGTGGCCGTGTTGAATGAAACTGACTTTAAAAGGCAATCTGTTGTAAATAAACATCCAAAGACCAACTTGCTATTTTTTGAAAGTTTCAATAAAATTACTCCAAAAGTAAATGAGATATTTTTCTAACAGACAAACAGGGTTGACCCCAACTGTTAATACTTAAGTTTTAGACAAAGATTTGCACCATGTGTAGCACTTGGAACATGTGGTGGGGATGATTGTCTTCACCACTAAAAATTCATCCAGGGCTTCATGAGACACACAAACACAAACACGAACACGAACACGAACACAAACACGAACACGAACACGAACAC